TGACTTTATAAGTGGCAAAAATATTTTTTTAATATTTTTTATTATACAACTTCAAGGAAGGCAATGGCAAACCACCTTGAGTATATTTGCCTGGTACAGCGTCTCAAATAGTGCCCTTCGGATTCGGCGATAAACTGTAGGTCCCGTTCACTTGTGAAACACTGATGACGGTGACACACATGACAAGTACATGCGAGAGGTAGTCGACGGCCTGTATAGAGTGTATGGCACTGTAAGAAGATTATACAACTGAACATTGACATTCTAATAAATAACACATCACCGGAAATAGTAGAAAAATATATCGTCGGTCAAGAGAAAGTGACCAAGTGCAAATTTTCCTGAATTTAATTTTTTAACCATTATAAAATATTTAAAACGTCATATATTTTTACAGTTAGGGGTTGGAACTTTTGGTGTTACAACAGCACAATAAAACAGTAATTCACCACAATACACTAAAACACTTTTATTTTTGCATTGGACGCGCGTTTCGCTAACCATGTTAGATACATCAGCAGATGATTAAAACTCAACTAATATCTACAAAATTAGCGTTTATATATTCACTCAGTTGACACCGAGTAGGCGTAGCAAAGAACTAGCCAAACCAGTCTAAACCAACCGAGCGTAACAATTAATTACCGAAACTAGAGCAGAAGGAATTGGACCATGTCTCTGTTCATACTATCTTTTACATTTATCAATTTTGACGCTTTCATATACAATTGACTGCGATTTGAGATCTGTTTAATTAGTTTTAAAGTATTAATATCTATACAATCTTCTTTTTCAACAATATGTTCAGCAACGCAAGATTTATCTAGTCTACCATATCTTAGCTGAGCCATATATTCTTTAAATCTAGTTAATATTGATCTTTTAGTTTGCCGAACATATATTTTTGATTACAATATTTACATGAAATTTCATAAATACCCGACCTTTCCAGTGGAGGTGTTTTATCTTTAGGATTACCTAATAATTGTTGTAAAGATAAATACTGTACCTAAAATAGGTTTTGTCCGCTCTTAAAGAAAAATCAAATTCATCCAACAATTGGTTTGTTTAAAAATGTCCAATTTAAGATAATCTTACAAACAAAATAAAAAAGTGCTAAATGCGCGGGGACCTATTCGTCAGAAGAACCCAAGTAAGTACCAGAATAGTTGGAAAAATAGTCGAAAAATCTCGTACTGCTGTTTGACGAAAATTGAAGAAGAGCTATTTAAATATTCCAAAATAACACCAAAAATTATTGGACGGGAGTGAAAGAGGTAAGGCAAATGTTCTCCATCAAGTACTTAATTTTGTGAATTGTTTAGTGTTTAGTAAATACATTTTTCTTTGAAGCAGTATGTTTACTTATCTATGAAATACCGGGGTACGTCTCAAAAGTGACTCACCCGTATAACTTTTTTATTTTTTCAGATAAAACAACGAGATTTGGTATGTTAGTATATGACATAAATTGGGATTGATTGACGTATTCAATTGTTTACGGTCAATTCCGGTTTCACCGGAAATGACTACAACTTTTGATTTTTAAATGGCACCCTCGGTATTTTTTTACTTTATTCGATAGAAAATGACACTCTGAATCGAATGATATATCATATGTCAATTTTTGACATAGTCACTCAAAAACAAATTCTATTTTAAATTTCAATCTAGAGTGCCATGGCTGTGTTAAAAACACTAATTTTTAATCAAGGAAAAATAGATTTGATCGTCTAATGTTTTTAGTGTCTTGTCCTGGCCAGTTAAAAGATGCACAAATCGTATTTTTAATCATATCTCAATTTTTCCAAATAGAACGAGGGTGGTTCATTAGCATATTTGGAAAAAGCATTTTTTTACGAATAATTTGATACCACACACTTGGTATTTTGAGTCAGATTGTCGTTATGAACCGCATGTTACAATTTCAAATAAACCATATGCCAAAATGTCAAAAGTTGACAAATGATATGTCATTCGATTCAGACTGTCATTTTCTATCCAATAAAGTAAAAAAATACCAAGGGTGCCATTTAAAAATCAAAAGTTGTAGTCATTTCCGGTGAAACCGGAAGTGACCGAGAACAATTGAATACGTCAATCAATCCCAATTTATGTCATACACCTTGTAAGAGTCTCACTTTATTTTTCTTTGGTTCAGTGAAAAATAAATAGCCTTACTGGCGTACAGTAGTAAACTTAAATCTCTCGGGCGCCACCTCTGTTATTTATAGTGGAAGAGGTCCACGTTTCGCCAATACGGGTAGCTTTTATACAGTGGAGATACCAGGGAGTGATGAAATGAAAAGAAATAAAACACACAGTTCACTATAACATAACATTAAGGCTTTATTTAATTAATTAACTATATGCTAAATACCCCAGGAAGTTTCACGACTTTAAATTGTAATGAAAGTGAAAGAAAATTTATAATTAAAGACTCGTAAAATAAAATTTACAACAACAATCGAGCACCTCTAGAGTTTTGACCGTATAATCTCGATATGCAACTCACTGTCCGATTTAATCACGCGAATTCAAAGCGCGTTTTTGACATGACGTTCTAGTAAATAAAACGACGCGAGTTTCTAACCGGCGTCTAACTTAACGGCGTCCTAGTAAACACAGACATGTACGTACCGGAGCGACATACTCTTTTATAAACCGACTTTCTAAACGTCGGCGACGTCGTTACAGACGTCCCGGGATAAACAAACGCGAGCCCTGGATCGTTCGCAGTAGAACGAAACGGAGTCCTGTGGGATAGGTACGCACGCGAGCCCTGGATCGTTCGCAGTAGAACGAAACGGCGTCCTGTGGGATAATTACGCACCCGAGCCCTGAATCGTTCGCAGTAGAACGAGACGGCGCCGGCGTCCTGTGGGATAGATACGCACGCGAGCCCTGAATCGTTCGCAGTAGAACGAAACGGAGTCATGTGGGATAGGTACGCACGCGAGCCCTGGATCGTTCGCAGTAGAACGAAACGGCGTCCTGTGGGATAGATACGCACGCGAGCCCTGGATCGTTCGCAGTAGAACGAAACGGAGTCCTGTGGGATAGGTACGCACGCGAGCCCTGGATCGTTCGCAGTAGAACGAAACGGCGTCTCGGTTAGTCGTCTGGATAAGCACAGTCCACACCGCCCGGTCAGGACCACCTCGGGATGTCGGCGAGATCCCACGGCGCTCCTGATGAGAATACGGGAACTACAGAACCAGTCTCGGGATGGACGAGATCCTGCCTTAGCTCCAAGGATATTCGCGCCCGTATATTTGTTGTACTACCTTAACCGCTATCTGTCTCCCTTTTAACCAAAAGAAATCGGTCTTCGCGTCCACGGGATCCGGACAAAATGCCTCAACCTTGCATGTATTTTTACTTCTATAGTAGGACAGTTGACACCTTGAGCGGATACAAGTCTGGTTAAATTTTACGTACGCGCGTTTCGGAACAAGATGCCTCTACCTTGCACGTATTTTTACTTCTACAGTAGGACACGAGACACCTGGAGCGAATTTAACTATCTCTATCTCCCTTATTCTATAACGCGTTAAGGCAGTAAAACAAACCGTATTAACAATAAAAAGAAAACGACCTACTCTCGATCACTTTGGCGGCTGGACTTACCTTCTTCAGAGCGGCAACGGCGGCTGGCAGCAGGGTACTTGGCAGGGCACTCCGGGCTCGAACTTCACTGTTCACGTGCGATCACACCACTGACTACCTGGCGCTCTCGCTGCCAGGGTATACTCAAACGACCCTCCCCTCCACTCGACCGGTACTGGTAGGGCCAGCTTCTCGGCTGCCGTACCGAACTATAGCGAGTAACGCCGATCAAAACTCTATTACAATATGGTCATTAAATATCTAACGCATTTAATTCAACAGTAAGAACATTAATGAAGTTCATTACCATAATGAGTTAACAATAAAATACATTGCCTAACCTTGTTTACAGAAAAGGTCCCTATTATTTAAGTACAGTATACGGGGTGTCCCAGAAATGAGCCCCAAAATTTATGAACTTCATTACACTCCCCCTACTTCGGTTAAAAATATATGAACATATATTTTTGTCAGCTATGCTGAAATGAAACTTCCTGTTAAAACAGCTTTTGTTTGACCAAAACTTAAGCTAACGCCCAGTATATCTCTTAAAGCCTAATAAAACAACAACAAATTCGAATGTTTATTGAGCCAAACTTAATCTAATAAAACAAAACAAATTCGAATATTGTTTGTCCAAAACTTAAGCTAACGCCCAGTATATCTCTTAAAGTCTAATAAAAACAACAACAAATTCGAATGTTTATTGAGCCAAACTTAACCTAATAAAACAACAATAAATTCGGATATTTACTGGGCAAGATTTCATCTAACAAAATAACAACAAATTCGAATGGTTACGGGGCAAACTTAATCTAAAACCTTGATATATCTGGGACCTGGTATCACTTTGATTATGCTTACAACTAAAAGAAAACAACCATAAACTCAAATGTTTATTTGTCAAGTCTTAATCTAGACTTTTGTATCGTAATCATGATTAAGTTACTAAAATAAAACGACCGCAAAATCAAATGTTTATTTTCAAAATGCAAAACTTAACTAAATTACGCAATATCTTCGGTCTTCTTCAACTTGAAGATCTTCCTTCTGCGGTGTCTAGAGCTTCGACGTGTCGAGCTTGCTCCAACGGTGTTTGCGGCTTCGGTGAGTTGTCCAGCGGCGTTGAGAGCTTCGGTGAGTCCCTCGTTGTCCAGCGGCATTGAGAGCTTCGGTGAGTCCCTCGTTGTCTAGCGGCGTTGAGAGCTTCGGTGAGTCCCTCTTGGTCCAACGGTGTTTAAGGCTTCGGTGAGTCCCTCCTGGTCCAACGGTGTTGAATGGTCCTGCAAATGGCTCAGTCATGGAGACCCGTACACCTATAGCACAACTGAATTAGTTCAACTCTTCAGGCACGCAGAACAATTGGTCGCAATATAATTTCATATTTAAAAAAAACGACCAGATGAGAGATACTACAAAATTCCCTTAAACAACAAGTAAAGCTTCTCAACCCTCTTTCTGTTTCCCTTTTTAATTTTAATCCCTTCTTTTTTTTTAAAGAAAAGCAAAAAAAAACCCTTAGAGAAAGTAAACAAGAAATGAAAACTTAGAATCTGATGACTTGTAGACTGAGGACATTGTGACGACAGACTCCTGTTGCTGGACGTCCGGCGTTGGTTTTCAGACGGGCCAGGACATCGGGCTTTTCTGCATGTCACTTTTCCACTTCTTCCCTGGCAAGTTGTTGCTGTCTCCGCCTAGACTGGCTTCCAGACACATGGGAATGTGGGGGAGTTGGCTAGCGTCAGTGTGGCTTGCAGATAGGTCCTGGCAGTGACTCATGAGTCATGAGTCGTTATAGTCTGAAAAATTCAAAATAACATCAGTTCTACAACTTCATCAGTCGGGACGGTTTTTTTTTTTTTAGATACTGTTTAGATGCCTGTTGATCTTCCTCTTGACCAACATCCATCAGCCCAGGATTCGGAGTGATTTGAACGGGAAGGTATACATCTACATTTGCAATCTTGTGATCGCACGCCGAGTGTTCCACATCTGGAACAGAACAAAAGAAATCTTTTCTGACATACACTACGTAGGTGTCCGGGGTTTCCACATCGCCAGCAAACATTCTTCTCCACTGGAACTCGATCAGAGTTTTGAAGCAATACATCTTTGGAGTCAGAAAACTTGTTAGTTTGACGTCTGCGGAACTCTTCTACAGGACTCTGTAGACTCGTTTTTATCGGAAGGCGACTGCCTTTAGAAACGGAGGCTTGACATTGGCCTTTCCTCAACTTCTCGGTTGTTTGTTCAACACTTTTCTTCGGGTTTACTTGTAAACTTTCGGCGGAGCTTCGGATCAACTTAGCATTCAATCGGATCTGTCGGGTTCGTAAATCAATCTGGAAGTCATGTTTGCCCAGAATATCCATACCAATAATCATATCCGAAACTAAGTCTTTTAGACTGTGGAAAACCTCATTCAGAGACTGCTCTCCTACTTGGATTTTCATCCTAAATGCTGTGCTAATGGACTCCGTGGCACCATTAGCAAGTCTCGCTCCTTTTACCGTGGGTTTGACAGGAATTGCCTTGGAAGTTTGGCACTGTTCTGTCAATTTCTTTCCAGTATAGGAATGGGCAGCTCCAGTATCCAGGAGTGCCAAATAGTCGGTGTTCCGGTAGCGAATCTTCACAACAGGACGAATTTCTTGACGTATGATTTGTGGTAATTCTTCAACAATCTCCGTTGGTGAATAATGTTGTTCCTGGGATATTTCTGTGCGGGTTGGTTCCCGCTTTCTTGGGCTCACACATGGACAATTCCTAGAAAGAACACCTGTCTTTTTGCATCGGGAACAAAAGATTTTGGGCTCGGATGTGCACTGTCTCCGGAAGTGTCCTGTCTGTCCACATCTCCAACAGATTGCTTCTGAAGTCTGTTTTGCAGAGTTCGGCGCTCTATACGGATATCTTGAAACACGGGGAGTAACAGACACATACCTCTGTTTACTCTGAGACGGCGATTGGCTCTGGATAACCATCAGGTTGCTCCTGGCTACAGCATGCTCATTTTCCGGCATGGTTTGCCGAGGCGTATTATTCGGTCGGACTTCGACATCGGACGGTGCATAAGTACGGGACGATCGCTGCAGTTCCTGATTAAGTAGTTCAAATTCCTTGGTTATTCGAGAGAAAGACGAAATATCCTGAAAGTCTCCTCTCCGGACATACTGACGAAATTCAGGTAGCAAATTTCTGTACAACCACTGTAATTCTTTTTTTGACGTTTGAAGATCAGTGATGTACGCCGTGACAGACTCGTTATGTCTTTGCACTCGACGACTTATCTTCGCCTCTAGGTCCACCTCATAATTTACTGGATAATAAAAAATTTTAAATTCTCCAGTAAATTCTTCCCAGGTCCTGTAATTTACTCGGTTATTGCGGTACCAGAGCGCAGCTTCTCCTTGCAAAACTTCTGGCAAATGTGGCAATAAACGATCCGGATGTATATTCTGTGCTATACAAATTTCTTCCAGTCTCTCTAAGAATGTTACAGGGTCCGAGCGACCATTAAATGTCACCCCCCATTTGTAAACTTGTATAGGATTAGTATTAAAACTATTTGACATACCTGGATTTATCGGCAGAGGGACAGGCTGTGAAGTAGAAGTATAGACCACCGAGGTTGCTGTCACTGTAGTTGTCACTGTCGTAGTGGTCAGGGTGGCTGTAGAGCTCACTGTCGGTACAACAGCACTATTTCCAGGAAATCCAAAAGGCTTTGAGACCGGCTGAGGACTCACCTGTCCTTACAACCTACATACCAAATATCGTTGTTTTATCTGAAAAAATAAAAAAGTTATAGGGGGTGAGCCACTTTTGAGACGCACCCGGTATATTTGATTTTGCAAAGATTATATTATGTTTACAGTGTACATTTTGTAACTTTTCATACAGAATATAACTGACATAACCTCTGATTGTTATGTTTGTTTTACCAGGTCTGGAATATATATTTTTTTTGAATCTCCCATAACTCAAAAACGAGAAAACCTTTTCATCATTTTTAAAATTTACATGGATTTCCTATGTTCAGGTCGACGATAAACACACAGTATATAAACTTAATCATAACTCCCCTAACTAAATGTTTTATGACATTTCATCGTCCAAACGGCAACACAACAACAGTAATTTGGAACGACTCGAGCCTTCTGAAAAGCCCTGCGATATTTTCAAGTTAAACTTATCCGAGATTCCATCAATAGCGGCAGATAAGCCAACAGAAATTTAAGACCAAGAGATAAAACTAAAAGCTCTTACTTTATGATAGAGCTTCGGCTGGATGCTCAGGCTGCTGCTCCTTTTCGGAAAATGGGAAGAAAATATTTGAATAACGACAACAAACTTAGCTTTTAATTTACCTTTTCCTCGTGCCGTTTTCTAGTAAATTGAATTTCGTTGTGCTTTAATTGAGAAGAAAAAGGAAAGAGAGCGCCCGTTGTTTTTATATTAAAAGTTGGACCAGAAGAAATTTTAATATAAAATAACAAAAACGACAACTTTTTGAAGTTAAACTTCTTTACTCGCTCTGGCAGTAAAAATACGAGGCCTACAGGGTGAGTCTTAAATAAGTGCAAATATTTTTAGGGGAAGTATATTTCGGCCCCAGAAACACGATTATACAGTTTCTGCGCGAAAAAAATGTTTTGAAAATTTGGAATTTTTTTTAGTTTTTCCTTAAAAAACATAATTTGTTGATAATATGGCAACATAGGTGGTAGATTAAATTTACAAAAAAGAAAATCCAGAAAAGATCCAGTGGTTCTCAAAATTTTAGCAAAAAATCATTTTTTTCAAATTTTCAAAGTAAAATAACTCGGTTATTTTGGATTTATTTGAAAAACGGTAAAGAGAAAATGTGTTTCTTTTATCGAGATCTGCCGTCTCTGAAAATATTTAAACTTATTTAAGGCTCACCCTGTATAAAAAAATATTTTAATAGCTGTTACAAGTAAACATTTTTTAATAGCTGTTAGTAAGCAGTTAGCAAGTTTCACTTCAAATATGCGCATATAGTGCACACACAATTTTTTATACCATATTTATTATTTAATAAAAATTTCATAAGATAAACAATAATTACTTAAATGCTCCAAATATGGCTCCCCAACTTTTAAACGTATTTCTTAGATAGGAAATTTTGGGGATGTTTAATCTAAATAAATAAAGCAAATCGAATTAGTATGTACATCATGTAGGTATAAGGCAAGAGCGAATGGACCGATTTCAATAATAATTAATTTGTTGGATTCGTCTCCGCCCTGAATATCAGAAAAATTAATAGAATTACGGATAAAATCACAAAAAATACACAAAATCAATTTTTAATCATTTTTGATAGCATGTAGGCGAACTTACTTTAATCATTTTTGATAGCAAGGCGCAACTTTGCCCCAATTTAACCATGTTCTTGTCCATTAAGGTTTCCGCGATACCAATATCGTACCTCGAATTTGTAGCACCCTATATATATATATATATATATATCACCTTTTAAATAATTTTGACATTGTAATTTATAAAAAAAAATTAGATAATAAAAACTTTTGAAGATGCCCCGAAATTAAGGGCGAAAAGTCAAGAAGATGTTTTAAAAAAAACTAAATTTGTTATTTATTAACGAACCTAAATCCAAGAAAATATGACTTTCTTATAGTTAAGAAATGGTTCAAGAAAACTTTCGCAAATATATCACCTTTGATAGGTACATTCTAATAAAAAAACAAAAGAGCTTGACAAGAAAAATTTTCAAAAAGAAGGCTTTTTATTATAAAAAAAGCTTAGAAAAACCCTTTGATAAACTCCAGAAAGCTTATAAACCATCTAAACCAGAATAAAACAAAATAGCTTTTAACTTATTATTATACCAACCAAACCAAATAAACAACTCACTATAACTTGGCAACATTGTAGGGTACGCGAGTTGACTAGTGCGACGTAGAAGCTAGTTCATGTAAAGGTCTTGAAACAGTAACTATTCGTTACTCGAGTAATCGTTACTTAATTATCAATACTGGAAATAACGAATAACGAATTTTTGAGACCTTACGTCACGCACGCTTATAGCTTATTTTTTGTAATAATTGTGGGGTGGGTTTACTGTAAATCAGTAACATACTAGACCGAGAATGTAGAATGAGTGTGAGGGGGGTTAATCACCGCGACCTTAAAGATCTATTGTATTCCCCTTTCTTGAGTTGTTGATACATGGGAATTTTTCTCTTGAAAGGGGGAGAGGTTATTTCCCATCCCCTACTGACAACATATGTTCTTCAACCTAGGAGTGAACATCTACCCCCTACGAGAGTATACACCCTTCAACCCTCCGGGCTCTTCACAGTCAAGGATCTTTTACCGGTTAAGGTACCCGTGAGGTGGATGCTGGAGGATCTGTCTCCATTTTCTCCACCTCTTCAACTTGGTCTCTCCTTAGACCTGATACCGGTGGTGTCCCGAATCTATAATAGAGAGAATATATCACTCTTTCTCTATTACCTCCTTGGATTTGAAGTCAATTTCTATCGTGAGTATCCGACCATGGCCGTCCTCCCTCGAGTTGATGACCTGCCACTCGATCTCTTTACATTGTGTGAGTTTTGGTAAAGCTGGTAATAGAAATAGACATCTGAAGAAAAGTAGTGGGAAAATAATATATTAAAACTTACTAAACTAAGAGATACTGAACTATATAGGAAATACTTTAAAATGTAAACAAAAATATCGAGATGAAATAAAAACAACGGTCAAATCGATTGGTCTCATAATTTCAGATCATTCATTAAATCAGTACTGCCAAAAACTCTCACTTCACTTCACTGTTGACTGACGGTACGTAAATAGCCAAGTCATTTAGTATTAACAAAAACAACAATATCTGGCTTTAAAGTTTAGTTTCTTAGCTTCAATAATGGCCACTACTTCAGAATATCTCTAGTTTCCAGAAACTGATCTGGAAAACGGCATCTATCTATCCAGTATAAATAGAGACCCATACGGTTTAACTTTTAAAGGCTTTTAATCTGGCCATATCGACGTAGTTTGCATCTAAAAAGGCTGTTTTAGAAAGAACGAGACTTTTATATGCAAGCAACTGATCTCTGAAGAAAAAATAAATAAAGCGAGAAAACTCAGGCAATGAGGAATAAAAATGCATTTCGAAGCTGCGACAATATATATTTAGCAAATAGTTAACATCGGATCACTAATATTTTTGAGATGTCACCAAACATGCTGTCAAGTATTGAATAGAGGAAAAACATACCTATAGTTCAAATCAAATAAACTTTAGGTCACCTGAATAAGCTTGACCAGCACAGCGTTGTCCACTTTTACATATTGTCTTGTAATCAAAATATTTTGAGAAACAAAAAAACATTAATTATAAATATATAAATGAGAATGTAGAAGGTTGTTGTATTTACATCAACAAAACTCACCTTCTTAACAGCACTTAGAGGACATTAAGGGCCATTACTACCGCTTTCCCGTTCAAAATATTCTAATTGCAATGAGTTTTTTACGGCTATTAAGCTATCTTGTAGTAGTACTTTTGCACTAAAAAAGGTTCTAAAAAGAACAGTGTTCGACTGCAAGGTCTGCTGGTAAACATTTTTAAGCTTAAATTATCACAACATAATTTATTTAAACCAAAAACTTGTAATACAAAACTAAAATGTCAAAACGAATGACAGTGTCTGGAAATAAATAAATAAATGTGGCAACTTGACATTTTTTACAGCAGAGCTACCACCTGAATCCCCAGTGGAAAATTTAAATTTCAGTTAGTTAGCCCAGCGTAATATGTATATGGTTGGCAACAATGCATTTAAAAAGATTAGTATTAAATTTGTATCAAATATACATGATTTTATTTACAGATTTAAAACTTTTCATTAATAGCTGAACAAAAGATATACAACTCTTTTTGTCAACAAGCGAAATTTCACAAGAAAAAATAAATAAAGCGAGAAATCTCATGCTATGAAGAATAAAAATGCATAGTTAATATAGTGGTCACTAATGTTTTTAAGATGTTACCAACCATACCATGCAGCACATCAAATCACATTTACGATGTGTTTACATTATTAGATGTAGACACAGGGTGACACAATTCCCCCGATGTAAATATGCTACGTTTACACATTGTAGTTCATCACGTATGCACAAAGGTTAAACGTCCGCCTCACAATGTAGCCACAGTATAGCATTTACGTATACACAAAGTAAGGGATACACAGTGCTTGTGTATTACGTTTAAACTCTGTTTACACATTGCAGTTGTGACTACCGCGTGTATACGTATGTATTTTGCTTCGTATATACATTTTGTGCTAGATAAAACTACTTCTTATGAACGAATTTAGGAAATAATACAAGTTTTGATGCTTAACTTTTCGTTCTTTTTAAGAAATATTTATTCAATGATACCAATTATACCTTTTTAGAACGAAAATTAGGAAGGCAAAACTTTGTATTTTCCAAAAGTATCTCGATCGTAAGTTCAAGAGAAGTAGCCATAAAATTGTTCCATTTTTGTTTTGTATTAAATGTACCATTTTTCTTCCATAAAATGGATTAAGTGGTTAAAAAATAAAATTCTTATATTTCTTTATATCATGAAACGCAACAGCGCAAATAACACAATAATAATTATTATTTGCACTGCAGAAACCAGAAGTAAGAAAACACTGTAAAAGAACAGAATTTGTATCAAAATGCACAAAGGTAGTATAACGGTAGTA